CAAGACTGAGAGAGAAACAGGAACCAGGAGATGTCTGTGAACCTCTAGAGGGGTGTCAGGCCTGTAGTTCTGGAGTAGGGGGGAGAGAGGCAGGTAGAATTAAAGCACTGCTGTACTTAAATCTGTAAATTCTAAATGTTGCTGGGAACGTGGAACCAGGCACAGTCTGAATTTGTGTGTGCCCTAACCCAGTGTTCAAGTTCATTTCATATTTCTGTGTTATGTCATGAAAAAAGTTCTTGGATTAGAATTATTGCAATTGACATAAGGTTGACTTTTGATTGTCAGAAACAAAGTTCAGCTAGTATAGTATTTCCAAAAGATTATATAGGAGATTTTCTAATAAATAGCAGTACTGAAGTTACACTTCATTTTCTTTTTGTCTTTGATAAAATAATTGACTTCTGAATAAAGTCAGATTTTCCAGTGAGAACATTCACTTTTAGAATAAATACCTTGTCTCACAATCATTTATGTGGTAGATAGATATTCTTTGTTAGAATCTACTAGAAACAGGTTCTCCACTTTGAATCAGAATAATACCTCCTTTATACAAATGACTGGAAGAACTGAATATTCAACAGTCTTGAGGTCTGCAGAAAAGTTACGGATTCCTGACCTGTAAAAATGGAAATTTTCCATTGCTTTAGAAACTAAAGAAATTTGCTTTTTCTTCTATGTAAGCCAAGTAAGTCAGGGTACAAAATTTGGGGAGACAGGGTACACTTCACCAAAGAATATGTTACTTCTTTATGTTATCCACAGGTTATCTAAGCCCCTGGGGTGACTAATGTATGATTGTACAGTTAAAATAGTGACCCAGCAGAGAAGATGGTGAGCATAATGGTCCAAAAAAAAATATTGTGGGGACTCTCTTGTCCCCTCCTGGCATGAGCCAGGAGCTCTGTCCTCTCACTGTATCTCTCAATAAAAGTCTCTGCCCTGGCTTTCCTGAAACAAGCAAACAAACAAACAAATTTATTGTGGCAGTCAGTATCCTAGTTAATTGTCTTCATTTTGAATACTTCAATTTACGCTTAAGATTGGCCTCCAGGGCTTTCCTAGCTAAAAGTCCAAACATCCACATCAGTATTTAGGTGATATACACAACTTGCTACCAGGGTAGCATATTTTGTACTGCTGTTAGCACACTAATTTTTCTGTATATCTTTGAGCATGTATTTTTAGAACCACAAATAAATATAATTTCATAGTGGAAATTCACAGATGAAATAGCGTGGAAACATAAGTATTACTAAAAAAGTTTATGATTCTTACATGAAACTTGGAAGATACCTAATTAAATAAATAAAGTTCGAAGAAGTTGCTTTCAAATTACATGCCAGCCCATCCTGTTTTCTGAGCCAATGCACTAACCTAAAAAGGCTCTTTTACCATTTCTGGAAAGGATATTCTAAATTTGGTTTCCAGAGAATCACATGTTATTGACTGTTCACTTCTGACCCCCCAAAACGAAGTCTTTTACAGCATACTGTCTTGGTTTGTATGTGGTTTTTACTGTGCTCCAGAAATGTGTTTTAAATGGGTGGTAGTTTGCCTTGATAGAGACTATGCTAAGGTACTAACAACATCACTTGTTCTGAATAATTATAATTAAGTAGTATAGACTGGTCCTCCAAAACCTTAAAAGTGATTTTTCCCCACCACACTGCCCTTGTTTTGAGTACACCACAATTAAATTACTTTTATTTTCCTATAATGTTTTTAGAGGGAAAAGAAACAGTTCACCCTCTAAGTGCCCTGGAAGAAGGTAACAGAGTAGTGTTCCAGTACTGATGCCAAAGTGACAGTTTGGGCTACCAGAACTTTTCTCAGTTATGTTCATGTTGCTGATGGGAATTATACGTCATTTCTGTGAAACACCAAAAATTGATATTTCTTAATTAAAAGTTATTTCAGCAATTTTATTTCCTACTTTGTATTCAGGGTATTTCCAAGACTCAACTGTAAAGAGGAACGTCATATAGAAGGAAACCTGAGTAACTAGAGTAAAAAAATGTAGCCATTATCATCTGTTTCATCATCTGGAAACGGATAAGAAAGTATGGGCTACAAAGAATAGATTCACATCCTGGACAGCCCTGCTCAGTGAATTTTTGTTACTGCTATGATTGTACTTTCCATCTCAAGTCATTTGTGCTTTTAGGTGAAGTCCTAAATCCTAAAGCTCTTAAATTAAAATCTCTACTTGTTAAGCAAAATATTTCAGTAATGTATTTCTGTGTGTTATGTAACTAAGGCTTTGAATAACACAGCTTTTAGAAAGTTTGCTGATCCAACTTCCAACAAATCAAGTTAAAGAAAATTTAATTGGTTGCAAATATTTTTTAAAATGTAACATTAAATATTTCAGTTCTTTAAAATAGATTTTTCTTAGTCATTTGTAGCTTAAAATACATACTTTATCAGAAACAAATTATGAATTAATTCACATAAACTAAGGACCTACATTTCTGAGAAAATTCATCCTCAGAAGATGTATATGACCAAGAAGAGAAATACTAAGCTGGGAAGAGTAGAATGGAACAAGGCAAGGAAATGAGTTCTGAGCCTGGGGTGTATACTCCCATTAATACCTCAGTTGAAGAAAAATGAGGTTCTGCTTTTTGTTGTATTTCTGCCAGAGACACTATTTATTTATGTGCAGTCTACAAGGGGACAAGTGGGCTCAGCAGTCTGAAGTTTTTGTAGCTCACAGAAGAGTGCATTCTGTTTGTATAGTGAGGGGCCAGTTTTACCCAAGGCTGGTGAATGAGTTCATTAACAATGATCAAATTCTGTCAGCTGTAGTCATTTTATAAGTTAAATGAATAACTGCACATTTTTCATGATTTACATTATGTGGATTATATTCACAAGAGATTAAATAATAACCTTGTAATGGATACCAGAAAGGAAGAAGGTTTTAATTAACATTGATCATCTCAGAAAACTTCTTGCTTTTGGGAGTGGAGGTGCTCTGTAAATGTAAATAAGGTATTTTCTTCAGCATCGTTGCCTCTTAACAGCTCTTTCTTTACTGTATTCCTACAGTCTTAGCGTGCAAGTCTCTATAACTGTCTCTTTGATTTTACTCAAAAGCAAGTTTTAATATAGCATTTAAATGGCTCCCTATAACTTGCTCTCTGTAACCAAGATAGAGTCTGTCCAGCAGTTCTCTCACACCTGCTTTCGTTTTCTGTTCCTTCTTTATTTTAAAATAAAAGTTAACAGCAAAGCACTTTATAACGTGACGTGAGCCCTGCCTCCTGTTTGCTTGGCTATCCCGTCTTTGAGCTGTCAATCCTCCCCAGTCCCATGTGCCTGACGATGACTAATTCTGGCAGCAGTGGGACAAACATTTCAGCAACATGACTAAAAACTAAGGGAAAACTGTGTGTGGACAAATAACTGACAGCAAATTTTTCAAAGATGGCAGGTAGGACAGATGTTTTAGAAGTCCCATTCTTGATAATTTAGGTAAGCTAAAGGTCTGTTAATTCAGTCATTATCAGAATGTCATTTGGTAAAATACCTCCCCTAAAAAGCTGAACGTAATACTGAAGTTCTGGAAGTTGTAATGGATTACTAATTTCTTTCCTGCTGTTGTTTATACCAGCGACAGAGTCATAACAAAAGTAGTGCAGAATGAAGTGCTTTTACTGTTTGGGAGGCCAGCTTTGTAATTCATTCACACTGTATTTTCAAATAGAACTAATGTAAGAGGATTTCTCACAAGTTAGAGGTGAAGATGTAAGAATTGATATTCCTCTGAGTTTTGTTATCAACTTGACTTCTCATCTCTTGGAGAGAGTTCTCTTTCCTTGTTACTACAGTTCTGTATTTGAAGTCTTGTTAATTGTCCTCTCAAAGGGTAAAAGCTAGAGCCGAGGTTTTATTAGATTCTCTTCTTATAAGGGCTCCAACGTCTTCAAGAGGAATGCAAAAAGATGAAAGTCCTTCATTGCACTGTAACATGGACCTAATAACGAAAAAGCCTGAGTAATTTTGATTTTACAAGTTACTGCTTTTGTTATTTTTCAAGACAGAAAGCTTATTTTTAGTACTATGATATCAGTCCTTGAACCGGTATCAAGAAAACAGTTTTATCACAGAAGAGTTTTCTTCCGGTAAGCAACAGAAAGAAATGTTAAATGTTTTATTGGTTCCCCAAGCTGTTACTCATCATAAAAATAAAAAATATTTTGAAGCCCTATTTAATATTGTCTTTGAATATCCATGTACTCTTCTTCTGGAGGGATGACTTGGAAGTAGTCTATCTCAATTTCTGCAGAGTTTCTTGATTGTATTTGCCCTTTTACAAAGATTTTATATATTGAGATAGGTATATATAGGCTTCTACTGTCTATATTGCCATTTCCATAAGGAAGAAAAGATGAAATACACAAACCATACTATCTTACAGCAGAGTTTTAGAAAAAACCAAAGAACGCTAAGTCCTCATTCCCTAACAGAGTGCAGACTGTAACCTCCCTGGATTGTAAATCTGAATTTGAAGAACAAAAAGAATTTGATAGCATTCAATTGCTGCAAAGGTTTTACTGAAAAACTTCTTTGGAGCCCTTATATCTTCTGTCTGAGTGTTTCTGAATGAGCCAGTGTAGTGTTTCTTGATGCTCTAGTGATTGAAGAGTAAAATGCTGAGCCTTTCATTAAATAAAGTACAAGTTTATAATGTTTGTCATTGCATGTTAATATTCTTTGATTCCCTAACAACTAAATAATGGCTCTCAAATGTTTGTGATTTCCATCTGAATCAAGGGGAGTCATGTACACAAAGTTAGAACTGGATGCATTGCCACTTTGAAATATAAGAGTGTTTCTGTAACACTTGATTTTGAACTTAAAGTGAGAACCGTAACAGATGTGAGAAAAACTTATGACAAGGACAACTTAATTTGAGTTTTATAAGTTTTAGGAAATGTCATCTTTTTATTGGTTTCAGAGACTTTTTCAAATGTTTTAAACACAATTTTCAGATAACAATAATGAAAAGCTGAGCCCCAAACCAGAGACAGGTGAACCCGTTTTAAGTTTGCACTACAGCACAGAAGGAACAACTACAAGCACAATAAAACTGAACTTTACAGATGAATGGTAAGTTATTGTTTCTGTAAGCTGTTCTTAGCCATTTTGTAGGATTGTATTAGATGCTATTTCTAGTCCTTTATCATCTTTATGCTGTTTTGCTGTAATGCTTTGGTCCTCACACCTTACTGTGCTTCAGAATCACCTGGAGAGCTTGTGAAAACACAGATTCCTGGGCCCCAGTCCTGGAGCTAAGTTTGAGGTGGGGCCAGAGAACCTGCCTTTCTGAAATTGTTCCAGGTGATGCTGATGGTGTGGGTCCTGGGATATTTCTTCTGATAGAAAATACAAAGGACAAAAATTATTAATCGCCTTTGACCACTAGTGCAAAAATAATGGACCTAACATTTGAGAGCTTTTTGCAGTCCTGGTTCTCTGTAGAGATGGGCACAGACACACATATACACAACTTTTGGGTTAATTTTGTACTGAATATATTCTCTTCTCCCTTGTGTTTATTTGACTTGGCTTTATATTAAATACTTCTGTGTTAGTCCCTAATTTTCATAAATGCTATTTTACTAGCTGTGTAATATTCTATCAAGCAGATGTTCACTTAACCATTTTCCTTTTATTGGGCAGTGAATTTGTTTGCCTTTTTTTAAAGCAAATAAGGCTATAATGACTATCTTTGTTTACAGGCCTTTCCCTACCTCTAAAATTATGATTTGAGATATATTTCCAGAAATGTACTACATCTAGGTCAAAAGATATTGCCAAATTATTTTCAAAAGGATCTTCTGTCATTACGTTTCTCTCAGCAGCATATGAAAGTATATACATTTTGCTGTCTCCAGGCCAATGTTCATATTAGTATATTCATTTATCTTTAACTTGAGTATTTGATTTTAAAATGGACTTTAGTTGTATAGGTTCTCTTTAATGACATTTCTGATTATATTTGATGCTCATTAACCTAGATAAATCTTATATTTTAAAAAAGTCAAGTTTATGTGAGCTTGTTATATTCTTTCCCACTGCCTTGTGGCTTTTTGCTTGAGACAGTGTCTAAAATTGTGTATTTATATTTGTTACTATTATTGTATTAGTATTAATGTATAATATAATCTTTATTAACACATAATTATGTAATATGTGATTGATATATCATGATTATATTAATCATTTTATGACCAATATATTAATTACCCTGTATAATTAATATATTATTATATTAACATATTTAATTGTATATTAATACTATTATATATTATATGTTAGTATAATATATAATATATTGTATGTGAATAATATATAATATAGTTATATATTGTTTGTTAATATATAATTAATTATATGTTGATATATTATTTACTCCAATTCACTGGTTTCCATTTGTGTTTATGTATATATGTATTTTATATTAAAATCTTGAACTAAGTAGAATTTTCAAATATTACTAAATACCTCTATGTTCCAGAGACTTCTCTGGACCCGGGGAATACATGGTGAGCAAACAGATAACACCTGCCCCGTTGGAGCTCACGCTTTGTGGGGGAGACAGGTGGTAGCATAATAAATAAGGGAATTCTGTATATGTTAGATGGTCCTGAATGCCCTGGGGGAAAATAGAGCAGGGAAGGGTGATTGGGAGACCTAGGGAACGGGTGGGCACCATTAAGACGACATTTGAACAAAAGCTTGCAGGATAAGAAGGAAGGAACCAAGCGTATATCTGGGGTGAAAGCTTTCTAGGTGGGGAGAGACCCAGCGCAGCGGTTCTGAGGCAGAAGCAGACCTGGTGGGTCGAGGCGTCCTTAAGGAAACCAGAGAGGCAGAGGGGAGGGACCCGAGGAAACGGTGGCAGCAGAGGCGGGCAGCCAGCTTAAGTGAGGAGGGTATTCAAAGGATGAGGGATGTGTCTGGTGGCTGTGTAGAGAATAGGCCATGGGTAGAATCCAGGCCAGTTAAAAGGCTGTGGCAGTAAACAAGGTGAGAGATGTCCCTGTGCAGGGCGGGATGGGAGCAGTGGAGGCAGTGCAGAGATGCTCGACTCATTCTCCGTGTGTATTTGACGGTGTGACGGGAAGAATTCCCTTATGAGCCCTAATGTTTGACCTCAACTTTTAAAAATCATGGTTATCTGTGGCCCTTTTTCTTACATAATTTAGGATCACAGAAGATTGTCATACTTATTCTCTATGTCTTTTCTATTCTATTCTATTCTCATAGTTCTGTACACAGGGGGCTGATTGCTTAAAAGGAGTCTCATCTGAGCATTATTTAGCAAAATCTTTAGTCCAACTCTTCTTGTAAATGCTCCTTTCCCTTCTCCAAAAACTGACCATGAATTATATTCTTTCATCATTACTTTATTTCTTTATCAAGAAAGATAATTAGCTTTTTTTCTGATTTTGAGAGTATTCAATATTTACTGTAAAAAAAATGGGAAAAAGCATGCAGTCTTGTTCATCTCCGTCAGTTTGGTGTTTTGCTTTTATTTTAGTTTCTTTGATGACAGGTAAGGGCAGTATAGTAACTTGACATAGAGCTTGGACTCTGAACTTAGCAAACTGTTGAACCTCTGAGAATCTCAGTTTTTCTTCTGAAAATAGACATATTTAATAGGACCTTCTTTAGAGGTTTGTTGGGGAGATTTAATGAAATTGTAATGCTTAGCACATTGGCACATCAGAGGCCCAGGTGGTAGCGAAGTCGTCATCTTTTGTAAAATGCCTTTCAGATACTTTGCCCAGTTTTCTACTGTGGTGTTTATCTTTTCCTTAGTGATTGGGAAGAGCTTTTTATTTATTACTATTGAATTATTTGAGGATAATACCGTGTGTCATTTGTTGCAAATATTTCCCCAGTTTGTTGTTTGTCTTTCAGTTTCCTTATGGTGGTTTTGTTTCATGACTTCAGCCTGTGAACTCAATGCTTAGAAAGGCCTTATCCTTCCCAGGATTAGGTGGAAAGTTTCTTCTTGTGTTCCTGTTATAGTTCTATGATTTTGTATCAGAATAAATGTTCAAGCCTTCTACAATGTGTATTACCGTAAAGTACGACATAGAGCTATAGCTTAATTTTTCCATGTGGCTGTTCCTTTGTCCCCGTACCATTTATTGAGCAATCTCTTCGTTTCTCTGTGATTTAAAATGCCATCTTAACATATGCTAAATATGTTTGCTTGGATACTTTTGTCTTTCCCACTAATGGCTTTATTCCTACATCAGTACCATAGTGTTTTAATTATCCTGTTATACACTGAGCATTTTATGAATGCCTGTATCATAGCTTTCTCAATGTAGAAAAAAATATTTATATATCATGTTGGCTTCTCTTTGCCAAAATTGCTATATATTTCTTTCTGGTTAAAAAGAAATGCATATTCATTGTAAAAAAAAAATTAGTATCTAAAGAAAAGTATGAAAAAATCACTTGAAATAACCTACTGGGATGATGTTTAACATTGCTGCATGTCCTGACATTTTTCTCTGCATATATTGCCATGTAGCTATACATTCTTTTAAAAAAAATCATACTATACATGGATGACCTTTTTAAAAAAATCAAATTGATTTCTAGAATTAGCCTAAACGGGTTTTTATAAAAACTTGGTAGAAAACCCATGATAATTTGTATTGTTTATGAGTCACTACTACTTGTCTATAATTAATGTTTTTTAAGTTACTGTAACTCTTGTTTCTTTTTCTTGTTCACATTTATTCTAAATTTAAGAAATTGTTGCATTTCTGTGAATTTAATTCTAATCTTAGATTGTTATACATTTCCCCCTATTTTCTTTCCCAGTCAGATCCCTCCTTACATATATACCTTGATTTTTTATGGGATATTTGTTGAAAATTATTTAAATCACTCTAGTATTCTGCTTTAGCCAAAACTGCTAACAGAATTACAGTCATCGCCAGGTGGGTATTAACACTAAAACACAAAACATTGTTCTGTCCTTCCACAAAACAATGGTGCTCACTCACCTTTCATATTGCAACAATAAACCAGAACTGGAAATGATCCACAGAGGCTATTCAAAGACCAAAGAAATCCCCAGGCCTCAGGTATCAGTTTAAAAGTAGCCTAGAACAACAAAGTCCAAAAGGGCATATGATCAAAGTCCATAAAACCATTAAGGATTTGGGTATGGTGAACTGGCTGTAGTGAGGACAAGAGGGGGACAGTGTAATTAAGTTAAAATTCAATAGAGAAACATGTAGAAACAAATATACACACATCACAGAAGCATCAAAACAGTGAAGAAGGCGTCCTTTGGTATTTTGAAGATTAAAGTGGATTAGAATAGTCACCTTGATTTTTTAAAGTGATTAAAATGAAAAATGCTCTATGTTATTTGCAGTCTGAATTGTTTTGATCTGTATTTCTTTAGTGGTAAAATATAAAAATGATCCTCCCAGTGTGTATTTAACTTCCTGGTGGAATCACTTGTCTTGTTTTGACAGGAGCAGTACCGCCTCAAGTTCTAGAGGAAGTGGGAGCCGCTGTGCATCTGAGGGCCCAGAGCCTCCCGTGGCCCCACAGAGCGCCGTGCAGCCTCCAGGAGACAGCGAGACAAGTACGGCGTTCGTTTGCTTTCGTCACTGCAGACCCAGTGCTGGGTGTCCACCTTTTTCTGTTCCCTTGGTGCTGTACTCGGGTTTCTTATTTTTAATACTTACTTTGCCTCAGTAGTCCGGCCGTTACTATTAATACACAGATAGGATATACCATAGGTAGGGACCTTAAGCATTTAAGATGAGGAGTCACAGAGAGGCACGCTTCCCCTCTGTGGGCACAATGGCCAGAGTGCGTGTCATCACACTGAAAATTTGCGAGACGTAAATGTTCATCTGACTTACCTTTGCTGTTTTTATACATAGCAGGAAACCCAGAGTACCTCGCTTGATTTTTTCAAAGACTGGGTGGTTAATGGAGGAAACAAAAAGGAATAAAGTCTAAGTGGGTTACGAGCGAATCCTATTTCATACAGGAAGTAACATTTAGGGACTTTTTCAGAACTCTTCCTGAAATATTTCTATGTGACTATTATACTAAAGTTAGTGCCTAGTACAGAGCCTGGGACACAGATTTTTCAGTAAATACTTGATAAAGAAAGGAATAAGTAAATTCTGTTCCTTAAAATTTAATACGATATGTGTAAGACAACTGTCTGGTAAGCAAATGTCCAGTTGGGAGCAAAAAAATCCCAGAAACACATATTCCAACAGCCAAACAAAAATTATGGTGGGGTCAGTTTTACTATTTGGTCATGATAGCTCAGATTATAGCTAGAAAAGTTTTTATTTTGTGCCGGTTAGAAAATAAGCAATGTCAAGTAACGTCAGTTGTGAGAGGTAATTGAAGGAGATTCTTCACACAGAGTTAGTACATGCAGGTCCCTGCATGGGCTCTGGACAGAGGTGGCGGGCAGGGATGCGCATCCCTCCCTGGCAGTGTTTGCATGATTTAGTGTGTGTGCACATATTTGCATTATGCTGGGGGAGGGTTTTATCTGAGTGTCACAAGTCTCAATGACCAAAAAAGGGTTAAGGAACTGCTTACACATAGGAACGCTGGAGTATTAAACTGATGTTTATTTTTCTAAAAAGGAAGTTGGATTTAATGATACTTTGGTTATTTCCAGAATTTCCTGAAGAATCACCAGAGGATATGACGACATACCGGGAAGGTACCTCTGCAGGAAACACAGTTCAGGATCGTATAGACATAGGTGAGCTCTCGTTCTCTTCAGGTAATTGCTTCATGTGGGAAAATAAGAAGGTGTTAGGACCTCCAGACTGAGAGGCCATTTCCAAATAGATGTGTTGTGGAATTTTCATCTCCATGTAGGGGAATTAGACTTTAGATTAGAAAATGTCTGTCCTCTTGGAAATGAGATAAATAAGTATTGTTGCCAACATGACCCACTGTTACTACTTCATTTTCTGACAGCACAATCAGAGAGGTCCATGTCTGAGCTGCTGGGTTCCAGCTCAGGAGGAAGGAGTGACGTCAGTCTTGACAGCCCTTGTGGGGTTCCAGGAGAATCCACTTTGTCTGAAAAAGGCAAGAAACCAGGAACTTCAGATCAGACTGGCACTGAGAGTGCTGCCGACCCAAATACCAGCCTTGAGCCTCCGCCACAGACAGAAGCCATTAGGCCCTCGCCTCCTGAGGGAGCCCTGGCCAGGGGCTCCGCGCTCCAGGACACGGACGACAGTGATGACGACCCAGTCCTGATCCCGGGCGCACGGTACCGAGCGGGACCTGGTGATAGGTCAGTAAATTTTTGGTTAATGTGACCTGTGAAAATTATGATTCACAAGCTTTGTTTGAAGTCACATAGGGGAATCTCTCCATTTTTGACAGTTCTCCCTCTGAGGGTGTCTCAGTCATATAAACTCATAAACTTTTTAAACTATAAATGATTGTACATAGTACATCCTTCGAGCAACTATATTAAGAGGGGAATGAAAAGCCGCACTGCTCTGTGTCTGCGCACTGCAGGCTTGATAGATTGAGAGACAGGAATGCTGAAATGGCCACCCAGGTACTTACAGAGCCAGGGTCATGTCAGCTGTCCAATTACCCTGCAGACATCCTGGCCATTATCAGTTGCTCTTTGTTCTTCATTGCTCAGTTGTTTGCTTCTCCATTGACCCTGGATGAAGGTAGAACCATAGCAGTTCTCTTTTTAAGAACATTGTGTTTTTCTCTGATTTCTACTGACCTTTAATTACTTAATTTAGAAAATGAAAAATTATACAAAATAAGTCCTGTAACTATAATAAAGAATTGAATTACTAACATGTACATATAACAAGTATAATATTTTTTCCATTTTTCAGTTTATGAGATCATGACTTTTTTAGGGTAAAAGGATATATTTTGTTTTTTAGTAGATATAATAATCTTTTGAAGTATATTGCATTCCATACTTTTCAAGAACTATTTCTATTATTAGTGCCATCATATCTTATCACATGTGTAAATTCTTTGAGAGAATCAAATTTGATCGCTAAAATCTTACCTTACAGGAGTGAAAGACCATTTCACACATTTTTATACTCAGTATACTGGTATTCATAAAATATTCTGACATTTCTGTCAAGTGAAAAATAATGAAAAGATGATGCAACATTGCTGTCCCTTAATGGTAAATCAATGAGTGGGAGCGTAATCACTTGGGTTTAAGCCCAGCTTTGCCTTTCAAGAGCTGTGTTTTTCTCATTCAGATTACTTCTCTCTTTAAGGTTCCGTTTCCTTATCTATCAAATACGGTTATGATTATCTAGAATTTTAAGAATTAAAAAAAGCAAAAATAATCACAGGCGTGTTTCACAGTGAAAGCACTAAATAAATGGTAGCTCTGTTAAACAGCCAAGATACTCTGTGTGGCTACTTAGACCTAAAAAGCAGTTCTAATAAGAATGGCGGTAGGAATAAAGACTGGCAGAGGACAAGCAAAAATGCTGAGCCCTTCAGCTTGTGGTTCAGTGAAACTGCCTTTCCTTAAGTATGAAAGGGTATGTGTCTTACTTGCATCTTACTTAGAGTGTTTAGTTAGCAATGGCACTGTTTTTAAATGTAAAGGGAATAATCTTTCCCTATATATTTATACATGGGGATTAATCAAACATATTCTCTTTACCTACCACACATAAGTCTTCAGCATTCATAGATTTTAGATGAGTTTTAGTTTCATTTCTTTATCTACCTGGAGGGAGTCCCTTAGAATATCATTACTACTGGGTGTACACAGGTAAGGTTGGCAAGCGTGGTGGCACTTGCTTTTTGAAAATTAAGTTGATGGTTTCCAAAACCCAGGGTGGAGAGCTAAAGTTTATAATTATTTTAAGCTTGTACATTTATGACCCTCTATATTAGTGAATATATGGCCTTGGTTTTTTCTATACTTATATAGTAAGTGATATTAAGGTCATAATTGAAAATAAAATTTAAGTATACACTTTCTAGTAAAATGTACCCTATCACTTATTAGCTTTGTTTATTTTAATAAGAACTTACGTATTTTTAATAGCTATTAGACCCTTGCAAAAGAATTAAATTATTAAGCATCTTCTGTCCAGGCTAATTACGACATACCAAGCCTGCTTTATAGCTAAGGAAATCGAGGTGCGGAGCAGGGATTCGCATGTCCTAAACCTAAGGAGATTTTTTTTTTTAGCATAGTAGCATAACATCAGTGAGAAAGGGTGTGCAGGGAGAGTGGATCCTAGAGAATCCAAAACATTTTGTAGTATGTTATCCTTTGTTCAGAGATACTGCCAGAAACTATCGTGTCTTTCTGTTGAGCTTTATCATTTGCTTACCACTTTCATAATACTTAGATGATTTATATGCTTTAGGGATTCCCATCCCATGGGGTTTGAATCTGCCACAAAGTTGGCATCTGCTAGCCTCATTGACCTAAGAAATCCAGGTGCTGAGCTAGGCTAGCAGAATCTTCTAGAGAGATGACTGGGGATGACAGCCTGAGTCTGACCCACTTCGTGCATTCCTACTCACACTTAGATCCAGATCTGAAACCGCCTCTGGATCTCCAATTGTTTCCCTGCTTTTTTTTATTATTAAATATTATATAATATCTGTATACTTGGTTTAGGTATTTAGTGTTAGTTTGTCCTGTCTTATTTGTTTCACTCTGTAGGACTTAGTAGTAAGCTTACTGAAGAATAACAGAAGAACAATAGAGTTCTGACCCTTTGAGAAACAATAATTCAGTGAAGAATAGAGGGCAAAAATACACAAGCTATTTGTAAGAACACAAAGATAGGTCTACTAAATATAGGAAATGAAATACAGTGTGATGTATCAATACAAAGATGCACACACTGAGAGGATGCTAAAGTGATTATACTGTTTTCACAATTACATAGATTTTTCTTTGAAATTTACATTATTCTTTCCTAGCTATTTACTAAAAATTTGTAAACGGTGAAAAATCTTCCTTTATGACTTTTATCTAAGTGATTTTTATAGTTCCTGACCTTAAGCACCATCTTGAGTAGATCTTGAACTGCCTGTATGAAGTCTGCTTTGCTTATGGCTGCATCTTCATAAGGGCTCTTCATCCTTGAAACAACTGCCCATTTATCTTACTTTTAAATTTGGAGGAATAGGTATGTTGACTTTTATTCTAAAGGGAGAAATTTAAGAAATTTTGCTCCTATGAATATGCAGAGAATCATTTGCCAGCTTGTAAAGTAGGCATGTGGTTTTTGAGAATTTCTGTTTCCAAAGGGACAAAAAATTCCAGAGCTCCATTGCAAAAATCATTATTGTTTGTTTCTTAGACTGTAAGGATACATCTAACACTTGGATGAAATGCCTGACAGAAATGATGCATGTCTTAAAAGTTCCCTCCTTGCTGCCATTTGGGAAGCCCAGTCTAGCTTAATTTGGTTTGGGTAAAGAAATGGCCCCCAAATTTAAAATGGTAAAAGTACATACATCTCTGCCTTAGTTTCTATGAAGAATTACACAGTAGTGGGTCTTGTCATTTTTTTGCCACACATTTAATTTTTAAAGTGAAACCTAAGAATTTTGTAGCTAAGCCATTTTTCACACACATTTAATAAAAATATCAAAACAGTTCTTTGCAATGCAGAATAATAATTTCTTTATAAGACTTTGCATTTTTTTAATTTGGTAAAATAAAGGGGACTCAAATATTCACTTTGGGCTGAGATCAAGCAGGAGAAGGAAATATCTTAGGAAGTAAAGGCCTTAACAACTAACATAGAAATTTTAAGCTGGAATGTTCTTATTAACTGTAGCTAGTCTCAGTGTTAACTGGAACCTTAGCGGAGGCCAGCCAACTTCTAAAAACCCAGAGAGTAAATGTTTTAGGCTTTGCTGGCCAGCAGGCAAAATGGGGTCTGTTTTGCAGGTGCTTCAGTAACCATTACAAATGTAGAAACTGTTCTTTGGCTATGGGCCATTACAAAAGTAGTCCACTGGCCCGATTTGTCCCAGGAGCCATAGTTGGCTGGTTCCTGCCTTGTGTAGCCCGTCCTTCAGAGGGTAGCTAAGCTATAGTGTATGGTGCAATGCCTCTACTGGCAGATACCAAAGTTAAACACAAGGAAATCTGTGAATCACCACATATATGGTCTCCTATAACTTTGTGTCCAGCAAGAATGTGGAACATTAAATGAAACTAAATTGAAGAAAGAAATTATTAATTGAATGGATACTTTCTAATCATGGTATTTTAAAAAATGCAGTATTTGTATCCCTTCATGATTTTATTACTGGTAGGAACATAATCTTGTGCCCTTGGGATGAAAGGAAAGTGGTCGTTTTTTGTTTAGGCAGTGTTCATACACTGTTTACACGGTGCCAAATCCACCTTAGAGTAAATGTGTGATGGCCTTGCTGCTAGCTGTTTTCTTGCTAAATCCAAGGGGTTTTTTGCTCTCTGAAAAAAGATAAGCATCTAAGTAAGCTTCCTGAAGAAGCCCTCGGTAGCCTTGAATAGTTTTTACAGACATGTTAAGATGCTGTAAAGATTTTTTCTGCAAAGATTAAAGATATAAACCTTATTGCCTATTATTCAGTTTTTTGAAGTATGTATTTGCATAGAAATTTGGTTCAACTTACTCTGAACTCTGTGGAACATGGCCTTCATTTTTAAAGCCAAAATTCTTGGTGTTCTGCAAATTTGCCACCACCTATTTAGTTATCATTATATTCAACCACTTTGTCAGTATTTCTAATGATTCAAGTATATTCTTTGTTGAAGAAAATTGCTGAGGAAAAAAAGTAGTCATGGAGAAAGAATGGAACTGTTAGGGTGGTAAAAGCTCTGTTACTGTTTGCTTGATTGTTATATAGTCTTGTGGTTAGGGCAAATGGGTCAGCTTGGCACTTAGATTATTTATTTCCCAAAGAGCAGCATAGCCCTGAGGAGCATTTGTTATATAGTCTTGTGGTTAGGGCAAATGGGTCAGCTTGGCACTTAGATTATTTATTTCCCAAAGAGCAGCATAGCCCTGAGGAGCAGAGCGTGCTGTGTCAGTTGCCAAATGGGTGGTATTGGTAAAGGCAGTCAGCACAGTTCCCCGCACTCTAATCTACTTAAAAGGTAAAAGGAATTAAGTGCTATGTTCTCCTCCTAATCTGTCTTTAGTGAATGTTTCCGTGTCCTTAGTTTCTGCATATACATTTAGTTGAATGACGTATTTCACATAATATCCTAAATCACAAAGGGAAACAAATTTTTTTAGACTGAGATGATTAATGGTAAAAGTGGTGACTTTAATGCTTTAAATATTTGGTTCTTTGAAGTCTTTGTGAGTGACTTTAGTATGTGTTCCCTCCACTAGATTTAATATCAGAGGAACAGCAATAGGTGATAGAATAATGAGGTAATTCAGTATGTTCCTTCATTGTGTTACTGTTTCTTTATGATGAAGTTTACCAGGTCCTCTTTTTCCACAGCTAACCACCTTTCCTATTAACAGTTCATGTTTTTTGAATTTACTGAACTCTGTGTGCTAGCATTGTGAAGCAAGTTGCTTTTGACAAACTGTATTTAGCTGCATGCACTGCATGGCCTAGAATGAAAGGACATTTCCTGTGTGCAGATATAACTGCTGTTCACTCCAGGTGTGCCATGTAAAGTAACTGTGATCGATGATTAAACATTGGTTACTTGCTTTGACTGTTTTGTTAAAGAATGCATCTTATGTATGCTGTTAATAATTGAGTGGGATCAGCAACTTTTTATTCATTCAAATATATGCCTTTTCCTTGAGATCAATAACTTAAAATGGACTTAAGTCTAATTCTGTGCCTAGGTTTAAGATTCTGATTTTTTTCAAAGAAATCTGTTTTCTTATAAGTAGCTTAGTAATTTAAGAGTCACACATCAAGTTGATATATCACTCTCAAACACTTCTGTAATTTGAAGACTAACAATGGGGTACATTTTTAAATACAAATTTAAATAAAATGAACCTCAATACCATTATGCATCTACTTAAAACCTGGGTTATTGACAAAATCAACCTTGGACCTAGTTCTAGAGGCACATGTTTGTTATTTGCCATTAGTGTCTAAAACAAAGTTGAATATAAAACAATACATAGCAACAATCAGAAATGTAAAATTGGTGGAATTCCCCAGGGGGAACACAGAAATAATTAAGTAAGCCAAAAATTACTGTAGATGTAAAGAAATCCCCAATTAAGGCCAATTCTTAGGAGGATTCCCATGTAGAAGTCTCAGAATTGTTTTTACTTTTGGTGTTTCTGGGCTGTTCCAACATTAAGGTATATTTGAAATAACTTTTTGCAAAAGTTAGTCTGCTGCTAGTTAACACTTTTTAATTAAATGACAGTAAGTGGAATTTGTTTCAGGTATTTTTGTTTTTCTGATTTCTGATTCTGATTCTGAGTTCAAACCATTTATCCCAAGTACTCAAAGCCAGTTTCTGCTTTTACCATGAAGATTGCAATTGAAAAGTACCATGTTGCTGTAGTAAGTTCCAGAGAAGTCAAAACACTGAGGTAGAGGTTATTATGAACTAATAAACAATGGCGAAACAGAATGTGGGACCTTCACCTTCCCTGAGAGTGAGTGAGAATCAGACTCACTCTTCTCTTACTCAGTTTTCTTTCTTTCTTACACAGAGATTGTCTGGGTGAAATTTCTAATTATAAGGTAGTTTTTTTCCTGACACTGAACACACATTTCGTTTGCTTCTTCATTGAGCAATTGGGAATGTTCAAGGAATGTAAACTTCTACTTAAGGTAAAGAAATTTAGAAAAGCAAAATTACCACACTTTATCATCTCTCTGGTTCATATAGCCAGTCTCCATTAGGGACTGTCCAGTAGTGTTTTCTGAATGTGTCTTGCTACAGTCTGCTGAGATTCTGAATGGTAGGTGCCATATTATCTGTTTCTTTGAATAATAAGTAAAATGATGAACATCCCTTACTCTTCACTCACCTGCTGTTATGTCACCACCTCTCACTTGACCTTCTGTTCAAATAGTCCTCCAGCTCCTTCCAGTGAGTCCATCGTCAATCAGATCACTGCCAGGGGCTCGCCATTGCTCGTGGTGGAGAAAAACTCCAGCTGGACACCCTGTTATGCCGTTCAGGCTGCTACCAGGAGTGTTTCATGCTCTCCGATCAACTGTGTTGGAGAGTCCCTGCCTGCACATAGTGCCCCGTGCTGTCCCTTCAGCTGAGGTGACCTCCTGCGGCCTCTACACCATCGCTTTGGCCACCTCATCTTTCAGCATTCATCATAAGCTGCTGCTTTTCAGAATTTTCCCAGTCAATACAATTTCACGATCCTAAGTAGGATTGCACATTTCTTCTGTGTGCCCTTGCATATGTGTATATGTGCTACCTATAACACTTCACTGCATATCTTTGTGTATGTGGTTCTCTGTATACGATGTAGGCCTCTTTAAGGCCAGCATAATACATACGTGCATACATACATAAAAGCTGGCAAAGAAGACGCCCTTTTAAATAAACTCTAGCTAACCAAATTTTTGTTCATATTTCCTCAGATGATCTGGGTTGTCATTTCCTTCCTCTGCCTCCTAAAACTTGAAATAAATAAGAAGCTATGAATTACCCTTCCAGGGGTCCCATGACCTTCCCATACATTTGGTGACTTGCTTGACCAACTTACAAAACTCAGAGTCACTTGTAATCATGGCTATAGTTGATTATGACAAGGGGAAAAGACACACCAGGCAGTCTGGAGAACCCAGCACAGGCCCCCAGCCTTCCGCCCCCCAGGACACATGCGTTCCTCAGCACTACAGTGCAGCAGGCCCTTGTGTCGTACTTCTGCCAGGAGAGGCCTGCCGAGGACCTGGAACCGGCACGTTGGGACCGCTCGTGTAGGCACCCTCGGCCCTGACCAGGTCCCGCACTTCCAGCAGGTGTCCCTGGCAGTCGCCAAGGAAAGCAGGTGTGTCAGGGTTCAGCGCCCCTGGCGGGCAGATGCTGTGGGCCACGTTCTGAAAGTCAGAGCCCCCAGATGCTCACCAAGCCAGCTGCAGACGGGCCCTTCTCAAGGTGGCGGCCCGGCCTGGGGTGCGGCAAGCCTTCGCTCACTACGACATTGTGAGGTGAAGAATCCAGATTGCCTTCCCCCGCCAGAGGAGGAACAGAAACAGAACGCTCCGTCTACCTCTCTTCTTTCACATGCCTGTAAAGATAGGTTCTGAACTGACTAGTATTCCAATCTGTGGACCTTTCTTATTGGTATGGCTTTTACTATAAGCAAGTGCTTTAAATCACTTAAAATTTTTTTGAAAGCAGGTAACATACCCTTTCTAACCTCTTATTCATAGATCCACTTGACAGAAAACATTTTTAAATTGATAATTTAAAGGTAAATTGGAGCTTAACTCTGAATAATCATAAATTCTAAATTTGAAGGTTCAGATCAATGAGGTTTTCTTTTCCAAAAACTACTTATGTTGATAAAAGAAGAATGGATGCATAGTATAAATTAAAAGAACTTAAAATTTTTGAATCATATACTGAAGACCAGTGGTATACAGAGTTAAAAATGAACATTTCCAATGAGGCATAAATAAATGGAATTTAATTCTTTGGTTTTAATATCTTTCTTTTCTTAAATAGTCCAAATATGCTTTCTTAAATCCCCAAATATGCTTTGGGGATGTTTCTTTACACACACCCGTAGCAGTGTTGGTTCTTATACCAACACTTTATAGCTGTTCTGAAAATAGAGACATAGAAGTAAAACAGTTATTATAGAAACTCCCCTATTGTGGGATGGTGGGTTGGGGAGTTGGGGTTGAGGACAGCTTCCCTATATTTATAAAAACCAGGTTTTTCAATCTTGGAGTGGCAAAAATCTTAAGTTTTGTAAAATAAATGCAAACGATTATGATAGAAGAATTTGATTATGAAATTAGGAAAATGTAGGTTCATGTTACCCTGTGTTCTGATAAGTCTACAGGGATGTCACAACATGTGGTCAGCACTACATGTGTACCTGGTTCTGAGATTCCCAAACCACATCAGCAAAATCAGGCCTCTGAAAGGAGGATGGATTTGTGTGTAATCCGTCCTTTTCCACATGAGCACAAACGTGTTTTGTGGAACACATATGAAAATTTGGAAAGTGCTCTCCTAGATCATGCGAATTTTATATTCTAGGTTGTGAGTCTTGAATTCCTTCAATATCTAGCCTAGGCGACTAGACTCTTGTACTTCTTTCAGTGCGTGACTCCCACCTGCTCAGTAATCCAGCACCTGTCGCGATTTAGTCATGCCCCGATGTTCTCTCCTTAGTAAACATGCCCTTTACTAACCGCCTTAGGTCACTGTATTCCAGGTTAAAGAAATCTGTCTTCTCTTAGTCTTTGGGTGAGCCATTTTCTACTACCTTAAAATTTGTTTCCTACAAACTATTTTAATAATATCAATAATACCAGTTAATTTGTACCACTCTAGCAATATGCACTGGTATTTTATAAAAGGATTTACCATGTTTAAAATAGCCAAAGAATTCATATTTTATATTTTTAGTTCTATTTAATGAGTTTCTCCTTATGTTCTAGCCTAGTTAATTATTACAATGTGCCAGTTTAGTATTTTTTTTTTTAGATAGGATTTGTCATTGATACATCTTCCTAATTTAAGCTTGGAGACTTCTTAAGAATTTTGCTGACCATTTAGAAATGGAATTTCTAGAACATGCAGTGTTAGAAATAAAATATAAAGACTCAGGAACAGGAAGGGATAAAAATGTAAAGTCAGAAACCTAGGTTTTATTCTCTTCAGTCAGTTGTACATTCTTCAGATTCACTGTCTTTTTTCCCATGTATGAAATGCTGTTTCCTTAACAGAGTAAGAGCTGATGCTCTGGGATGTTTCTGTTGCTACTTTGAAATTCCTGGATGAATCAATTTTGTATTTATTCCATTACTCATTCAGTAAACCCACAGGGAACCAGACACTGTGGTGGATGCTGGTGACATGAGGGCAAAGAAAACACAGTCTCCACGAGCTCTGGGTTCAGTGGGATACACAGACACGTGTAAATAATTACAAGCCAGTGATTGCAGTGATAGAGCTCTGCCCAGGTGAGGCGGTGGCGAGGGGTTCCTGCCCTAGCCAGATCTGAGGATGTTTGTGACATACTGTCATTGTTGATTCATACTTGGCTCCTTTTCTTTGTTCATTTAATAATATAATAAATACCCATGAAACCGCCACCCAACCCAAGAACAAAGACTCCCAATAACTAAGTTCTGCCTCTACGGCTCCCCGTTCTGTCCCCCTGATCCCACACCGTTTGTAACCACTCTGCTGACTGTTGATCGTGCGTTGCCTTAAAAGAAAGATCATATGGAAGTACAT